ACTCAGAACTTGTTTACAACTGTTAGAACTACTAATACAGGCTTACTAGTAATAGTCTACTTTAGAGACTCAAACACAGACTACTACTGATCCTCTTATTACTAAGGAACATTTTTGCTAGTAAGATTGTGAAGGGGCTAGACAATAGTACTAAAGCCTTGAATAAAGTATTAGTAGTAGTTTGTAAACCTAAGGAATGCTTAGACCTGTTTCAGGTTCTAAGGTTGTAGCCAGTTCCAAACTGTAGTTACCTTTGCTGGATTCATACAGACCTCTCCTCTACTAATTACAAAGCCTAGATAATCTACTGACTCCTGTACAAAAGAGTACTTTACTTCTTAAAGAAACAGTTTATTATTTTAAAGCTATTATAGAACTGCTCAGATTAGTTAGTAATAGTACTCAACTGTTTGGGTGAAGATCAGAATGTTATCCAGATACACACTAACATGCTCTGAGTCAATCAGATCTGTAAGAATGTGATTCATGAATGACTAGAACATTGTAAGCAAGTTAGTTAGTTTAAAGAACATTATAGTCAGTTTGTACAATCTGTAATTAGTTTAGAACACAGCCTTCTACTCATCTCTGTCTTGAATCTGAATATTATTGTATCCCTATTAAACATTCAACTTAGTGAAAACCCTGAATGTATGTGTCTTATTAATGAGCTCCTGAATTAGGAGGAGTAAGTACTTATTTTTGACAGTACCCTTATTAAGACAACAATAATCCTAGACTAGGTAGAGCTTCCTATCTTTCTTTTTGACAAAGAAGAAAGAGGAGGTTATGAGGGACTTTAAAGGTTGGATTTAGCTGTTCTAAAGATTTTCCTGAAGGAACTTGTTAAGCACCTCCTACTTATCTCTGTTGAGTAGGTAGACCTTACAATCCTTAGGTTAGAAACCCTTAGTCAATTTAATTGTATAGTTCTAGAGACAGTGTTTAGGAAGCTGGTCAAATTCCTCTTTACTAAAGACTTTAGAGAACTCTTAAATGAAATCTAGTAGGCTGGGTCTATGTGTGTTCTAGAGTAGAGTTGTTCTGAGAGGGTTCTAGACTGGTTCTGTCTTAGACATCCTTTAGATTGACTCTGTTCTACCTTGACTAGAATATGTATCTACATATTTATTCTAGTCAAAGAAGAACAACCAGTCACCTTTATTAGAACTGTTAGTAACATTGGAAGTATTCACATTCACTCAGAACAGTAGTACAAAGTAGTTACAAGACTTAGGACACTAATCAAACACAAGTGTCTACTCTAACCAGTCAATAGTAGGGTTGTAAGCCTTGAGCTATTCAAATCTAATAAAGACATCTGTCTTTCTAAGGTTAGTAACTCTAAACTCAATACTTTCCTTATAATCCTGAATAGTCATTCATAGTTAGACAAACTTAGTAATCTGACTATTCCAGTTCAGGGTTCTGTCTACATTGTATACTAGGATTGGAAGTAGAATGTATTAAGTAGGAAGGTAGTGTTCCTGTACAAAAGCCTTATTAATACACAAACTAGTGTATCTACTGTTTACTAGAGCTATTGTTTGAATCTGGAGGGATTCTAAGAAGGGAGCTAAGAGGACAGGGACCTAGAGCTAGTACCTAGAACATTCTCAGATGAACTGCTACTTGTTCTGAAGGGAACATACAGCTTGTACAGTCTTGTTGTCTGAGAGAGTAAGTATATACACTAACATTTCCTTATTAACCTCTCTCTTTTAATAAGGACAGACCTATGTCCTCAGCTGTGAACTCAGTTAAGACTATCCCTACTTGATACTATAGACAAACTACTAAGTAGTAAACAGGGCTAGGTAGCATTCTAGACATTCTGAAATCTTGGAATACAAAAGTGGCAGGTCAGATTGTACAGATTTAGACTTGGATAAAGTGTAAAGAGAAGAATTAAAAGAATCAGAAGAAATAGGAGAACTATCTACTTTTGTTTTCAACTTTTTTCTTTCTAATAAATAATTTTGTTGATTTATTTTTTCTACTTTTTCTACTTTTTCTACTTTTCTTACTTTATTTACTTCTAATCCTACAGTGTCCATTGAATCAAAAGTGGCCATTAAAAAATCTGAGTCATAGCCCTTTAGTACTACATTCACTGTTGAGCCTCTACAAAATCCTAGAGTATGTAGTTAGAGTCTAGAAGTTCTAAGGTGACTTTCAGATTTGTAGAAAAGGCTTCTTACTACAAATCCTACTTGTTACTTGTTATTACTCTAATGACCTAACAGATATACTGTCACTTCTGTAGGTAGTCCTTAATCTAGTGCCCTGACTTTCTGTAAGTAAAGTATACTCCTTACTTTCAGGCTTCTCTAATGTCTATCAGAATAAATTGATTACAAATTACAGGCAGATTAATCTGAGGGCTCAGAACTGTCAGAGCTAAACACATGTGTAAGTATTCTATACAGACTTGACACATCCAAACTGTAGCTTGGTCAAAGGAGATAGTATGTGTCTTCCACTTAGTGTAGGTGACTAGTTCTAACATTATTCTAAGGATCTTATTAACTAGTTCTGAGTGAAGAGCTTTTTTGAGTATTCTAATAAGAACATTATTAAACCTAAGTACAAATCCTACCTTCCAGGCCAGGATATCAAACTCCTGAAAGAAGGTATTGGCAGAATGTTTGTCCTGTCACAGAGACACAAGCTTGTTCTACACATTGTACTTCTTATTCAGATTAATAAAGGAAGTACAGAGCTACCTTATAAATTCTGAATACAACTCATTGTTCTGAAGTCAGATCAGGCTTCTAATCCAATAGCTTTCAATCCAGTTCTAGGCTCAGGTGACTGTGTTGCCTTCCTTTATAAAGGAGAGGACAAATAGGACACAATCAAGATTTAAGGATAGATCAGTTAAAGTAGTAGCTACATATAGTTTGACTTAGTACTGGAAGTCCTTAAAGTGCTACTCATTGAAATCTAAAGGGCAGGCTATATACACTTTCTTTCTAGAACAGGTTGCAACTTTCAGAACAATTAGAACAGGTTCTGAAGGGGCTAAGGGTATGTGGTTAGTAAAGGCCTCTTAGATAGAGGTCTGTACATATTAAGCTAGTTCTGCTTGTAACTGCTAATCTAGCAGGACAGTAGGGGTAGCAGTCAGTACAGGAGGGTTCATGTTTATACTACAAAGGAATCAGTACTAAACTAAAAGGGGTAATGAATAGAAGAAGGGTGGCAAAAGTTTAAAATTTAAAAATGTAAAAGGGTTAGGACAAAGAAAAGAGATCAACACAATAGTGAGTACTAATGCTTAAAATGTAGGAGAGTTGTAGAGTAGTAATAGGTAGTCTTAATCTAATGTCAGTAACAGTATAGAGGGGACCCAAAGGCTTAGCAAGGGGACCCAGGCTACAACTATCCTACACAACAGAAATACAGAACACAAGTACTAGAACATAGTCAGAACTTGCAGAACAGGCAGAGAGAGAGAGTAAGACAAGAGTAGAGTATATAGAGTGAGCCTAAGAGTACAGGACTACCTAGAGTAGACAAGATCAAGACTACAGGACTAGTCTGATCTTGTACACCTATATATACTAAACTACACAAGAGTACTCAGGGAGCATGAGCCACTAAGAATGATAAGCTACAAAGAATGAAAGAAAGGAATGTCAAAGATAAAGGTACAAAGAATGAAGGGATAGACAAAGGGTAAGAGACTATAGAATGAACAGAGAATGAAGGAGTGGTCAAAGGAATGGAATGATGAAGTAAGGAAGGGTAGAGTCAGCATGCATATAGTCTATAGACAGTGCCCCTAAGGGACAGAAGTCCTGAGTTCCAGTACAGAAGGGTGTAGAACCCTTAGAACTGAAGGTAAGAGAGTAGAGAATCATAACAGACATGGTCTAATTGCTCAATATAACTGACTGATTCATTACAAAAATAAACATAGTCTTATAATGTATTATATGCAAATGTAATGTCTAAAATATATAAAATATATAGAAGTCTGCCAGGTGTCCATATATTGGATTTTAAGGCTAAGACATATATTTTCAAGATATGTAAGAGTTGTGAAATCTATAATACTTCTAATGATTGTCAGAGTATACAAGACTTGACAGACAATATAAGCCATTATAAGCTATTGTTAGAATTGATAGATAATAAAATAAATATTGTTTTAAATATTACTTGTACTTTCTAAACACTGTTATAGAAGGGAAAAAGTTGTGTAATATTTATTTAAATGTACTAAGGATACAAGCAAATTCCTTTAACTAACCATACTACCTTCCTCCTTTGACTCATAACAGTACTGCCCTTTTACCATCATCAACTGTCATCTTGTTGCTTGCTAGAGTCGGCTGGATGCTTAGATTCTCGTTCTGTCAAACTAGTGAGAAAAAGCCATGCCAGAACATTATGGTAATACAGGTCGACCGAACTGGACACGTGATGTATGGATAGGGGGGACAGGGAGCGCGCTGATCAGACAGGCCGTGGAGGTGATAGTAACAGGATGTGTGAGCGGACGCGTGCGGGCGTCGTGAGGGACCAAGGAAGCCTGCGAAGGCTGTATAGTGAAACACAGTGCAGGCAAGACGTGCGGCCGGGTGCAGAGGGCAGGAGCAGAAGAACGGTAGCAAGAGAGGGTGGAGATGGATAGACTGTAATGACCGCAATTCAGCACAGGGGCAATATGAGAGAGTAGTGCATTGGGGCAATCATCGGACATACAGGGGTCGATGCGTCCACAGGCAGCATTGCATCACATCACACAGTTCGTTTGGGGGGCGCAGTCCAGTCCACAAGGGAGAGCGCAAGAAGAGTGGGCGAGTGTCAGCGAGCAGTCAAACATAGTAAACAGAATAAAAATGAAAAAGAAATAGAAATAAAATAATGAGTCAATGACCGAAGTGAAGAGACTGGGAGAAAGGGGCCAGCTGCGGTGAACAGCAGGCAGGGCGCAATGCAAAGAAAGGAAATCTGAAAGACATGTACGCACATGGATGTGTCGTTGGACCATGTTGTCGACGTCGGTCGAGCAGTACTCGTGCAGCTTCACATGGTGGCTGGCCTGTTCCTCTGCAGTGGTGTCATCATTGTTGGCGTCATCAGCCATCGGCATCGGGAGTTGCCCTCGGGGCGGTCAGGGCGCGTCAGACGAAGAAGGGAATCGACATGCCGCCGTTGACGTCGAGCAGGAAGGTAGAGTGCCAAAAATAGAGCAGGTAGGTGTGTGAGAACAGGGACGCAAGATACGCAACAGAACGGCCTCGAACGCACCGAAGATGATCACTGCTACGTCCACAGAACACAACACTCCAAGCTCATATGCCTTCTTGAACAGCCCGTCCTTCCGCTGCACGCCATGGGCAATTTTGACGCGCCAGCCAAGAATATGCAACAGACAGACAGCGCAGCACAGCACACAGAGTGGTTACCGACAGCCGACAGCGAAGGAGATATTAAAAAAATAGGTGTTAGCCTCCGTCGAAATAATTATAGTGAGCGCACAGCAGCGCAGCGGGGCCACTCGGTCAATGCGTCACACTAGCACTGCAGCTCCCGCACAAAGCGTCGCAAAAAAACTGAGAACACAACTCGCCTTGAGAAAAGTTACTGAGCGGTTGCGCTCGTGCTACCGGCGCCCGCGAGAGAAAATAGAGTCAGCATGGCGAACTGAATTGCGCGAGAAAATAGCACGGGGGAAAGAGAAAGACGGGACGATGGAAATAGGCTAGTGGATGGAGAGGGACATGGAGATGCGCGCACCGTTATTGGGGTGATCTCGATCTTGCAGTGACCCATGGCGCGCGTCTTCAGACATGGTCAATGTAATACAGTTGTTCAGTAGAGCAGCAGGTTGTGTTGGACACGGCAGCGAATATTGAAGAAGTTGTTCTTGCAACGGCAGACTCTGCGGTGGAAGCTAGTTGTGAGAGAGAGGGGAGAGATGGCCAGGAGCAAGCAAGAGACATTGAGAGAGGGAGGGGGACAGTGGACAAACACAAAGAAAATGTTGGGGAGAAAGGAAGAAATTGTGAGCTGGCAAGAACATCTTTTGTATCAAAAAACAAACTTACACGTGATAGAAATGGACGTGGGAAAATGGACTTATGCAAAATTTCCTTTGTCTTTTGTGAGAGATCATATTTTTTCTAAAGGACTCAAGTAATATAATAGTAATGTTAGTAAGTAAAATTATTACAATCTACTTGAAATAGGTTGTCAGAAAACTGTAATATTTACCCTATCTTGTAATTACTATATATGTCTTGTTTAAGTCTTATAATCCATTATATTCATGTCAAATAATTCCTTAAGAATATATTTCAATTACAATTCTGTTCCTACAATATATACTTATCTCTGTCATAAATAAGCATAAAATGCATTATATAGCTCACTAATACTTGTCAAATAGACAAGGGTATACAATTGTCTGTTTGATTTTGTGATGTTGCTGTGCCGATCTTCACAGATGTCCACTCTCGTCGCGAAGAAAGAGACAGAGAAATCACCGCTGAAACTACCAAATTAGAGGTCAAAGCATTAAAGCACGTTCAAAACCACCTAGAATGAGGAGAGTTAACATCTTGAGAATGATCGGTCTCAATGTGAATGGGCATACCTTTTTAGGTGACCAATGGAGATGGATCATCATTTCCCCGCTGTACTTGTGATCATCGAACATTTTAGTAGCATCACAGCAAACTACTGTACCCATCTGTATGGGTACAACCAGGCAGAGTGCGTTACTGGTGGAAATTGGAAACCTAACTATGTGGACGCGTTACAGTTGCTAATACAGACAACCAGACGGACGTTGCCGGAAGTTACTATACTACATTAGTATTAGTATATAAATTCAATCGTAACAATCCAATAAGCTTTTCAAATTTTCTAACACTTGTAGTATACAAAAGTAACAAAACTACACTTAAATTGTCTTATATAATATAATGCTCGCTTAAAATTATGTAACACTCCTTAAGGGAAAGCAACTACTGTTATGTGTTACGCGTTACTGCTAGCAACCAAACCACCCTTGCGTTACACGTTACGGTTGTACCCATACAGATGGGTACAGTACTATCAAGCCAAGTGCCAGGGCAGAAGGAACTCCGTGGAGGAGAGGGAGGGTGTTATCATGACCATCTGTTAAATGTTTATGCAGAGTCTGCCAACTGATGGACTTTATATGGATGAGGTACGAGACAGCGTGGGGGGAACTGTGGAAGACACAATTGAAGGCGATTGGATAGCAGGTCGGGTTCATCTTTCCAACGTTACTTGTTGGATAAGGCTCACTTCGGTCAGAATTAGATGGATACAAGACTGCTCAAGTGGTACGAGCTTTGCTGGTAGGATTATGTCACCACTAGATTATGTAACTTCCCTTAGTAGAAATGGAACATTATCAGATCGACCGATTCCGCACCCCGCAAATGTCTCAATGTTTTCTGATCCTTGAGCGCTGTCAGTGTATGGTCGACGATGTCCGATAGCATTTCTTTCGGACGGCAGGGAAACAGCTGAGTTGGGATTCTATTCGAATGACGAATCTACAAAACGTCCTTATAGGGTAATATGAAGAATCAAGGCCTTATTGAAAGACCAGAGAAAGGTATCTACGAGCGCCAGCTTCAGTCTTAAGGACGGCTCCAATCATAGTATCGGGGCGTACAATAACCGCCGTTGGCGAACTCTCCGATGGGCCCACCCCATAATTAGTAAATGCGTGTCCTTCCGAATCCACAATAGCATACTTGATATCGTTCATCAGAATGTCCGACGCATCCGTGCCTGCAGGGAGTACAAGCACCTTCTGTATCAAACCTGTATCAATCGAAGAAAGCGGCGCTATAATTGCACGTGCTTGCCCGATCAGGGACTGATTCGCCACGAATAGTAATACCGTATGCATTACCGGATTGAAGATGTCGAAAAGTCGGTCTGGGGCCTTTCTCCCAATAAGAGACGGTGCGTCAGGAGCACGGTCTCCAGCCCTTCTCTCACCAGTTACCGCATCATATGCATCGATAGAGATTGTACTAGGATGCGGGAAACGCTCATCAAAGACGACTGGACTCCAACGATAATGTATGTCGAGTTGTGCAAGTTTCGCATCGCGGATCCATACATCCTCATTTTGTGAGCTTTTTTGAATTTGTTTCTCGGTCACTTCTTCCACAGATTTCTCTGGGTCGATACCATGCTGGACGAAGCGGTCGAGTAAGGCGGTCGTGAGCTTGAGCATCTCCGCGATCACTGGGAGGCGCTCGCTTTCAAAGGATTCTAACAAGCGTGGCGACGCGGTTCCTTTGATTGATAACGCGAGTTTCCAGGCAAGGTTGAACTAACGCGGAATTAGGATTGTAATGACATCAGGAATGTGCTGAAAGAGAGGAAGCACTCACGGCATCTTGCACACTGGAGTTCATACCTTGTCCACCAGTTGGAGAATGTGTGTGTGCGGCGTCTGCGGAGTTGGTCTAAATAAAAAGTCTTGATAACCATGAAGTAGACGTACCGCCGATGATAAACACTCGTCCGACCTGAAAATGGTCCACCATGCGAATATTCGGCCTAATTAATTCATGAAAAGTATTCTCAGAAGGGAGCCTTACCGATTTGACTTACTTCCATTCGCTATGCCAAGTTACTTCCGTGACTCTGAGATCAATGCGGTTCGTGATCCTGTGTAGTTCTTCTTGAGCTGCTTGCGAGTCGCAATGCTCTTTAAGGAAGTCGAATTTCGCCTCGGTGCCGGCAAACATCACCTGAAATAGACCGGGCTGCGCCGTTTGCCAAAGAGTCACCCTAATGGGAGTTGAGTAATATGAATGTTGCTTTTAGTGGAATTGACCTGCATTGCGGTGTTCTGGTTACCCCAAACGCGGAGGTCCTAAAATAAATCTTAGTTAAGTAAACCATGTATTAAATGCGATTAAAGCGCATTTACTGTATCAGCATCAAGGCCTTCTATAAAAGCATCAACAAGGTGTATCCTTCCTTCTTCGCGAGTTTCTCCAAGGAAGTTGACATCTATGGCCTTTCGCACAATACCTGTAATAAGGTCAGCAATTTGATGGACTAAATAGAGCACTCGATTTACTCCGACCGCCATCTGCACCCACTACGTACTCGAATCGGACACTTTCCGTCTGCTCGTCGCCGTCTATCGTCTTTAGAATCTCTGCCGTCACGCCATTCTCGTCTTGCGTACAACCGATAAAGGTGGATCCAAGTTCGACTTTTCCGCCAAGACCCTCAATATGTTTGCGAAGGATGGCCTGATGGTGCGACTGGCCAAGGAGCACTGCTCGAGTCTTAAAAAGCTACTAGATTACACGTTTGCATCAGTGATACAGAAAGCTTACAATTGGGAAAGCGGGTGTTGGCTCAATGTCTGCCATCATTTTTGCAGATTGTATGATGTGGTAAGGGTCGTTCGCGTCGAAGATATGAATTGTTGGTGGAGGAGCCCCTTTTTCGCGGACTTCATCTCCAACTCCAAGGAAATGCTCAATTTCAAGTGTGCGTGGCTAGGGAGAAGTGGTTAGATTCTATTATACAGATATTGAGACGAATATCTTACAGTTATTCCGTTACCACGTGTTCCGCGATGATACTGAGTATCTTTCTCGATAATGCGAACTGGTACTCCGTTCTTCAGGAGTGACAGAGCAAGAGTCAGACCTGCAGGCCCAGAACCAACGATAAGGACTTTAGGAGATTGCATCGCAACTGAGTCTGCAGTAACTATGAATTTCTTGGAGATTTGTATGGCGCCGTTTCTTCAAATTCTTGTCGATTTAAATACGTTCTCCTGACCGACATTTCCCGTCGTCGCGCCCACTATTCATGTCGAGTCATTTCGGCCTGGAAACGGCGAGGAGAATAAACCAATGATATGCGTTTGTGAGCTGATTTCGATGCTCTGAGAGATTGGACATGAGTGGTGCTTGCAAGGTTAGCGACAAGTTGTGCGGGAGAAATCGGGAAAATGAATAGAGTCGATTCAGACGATTGATCGCCGCGACAGGCCGACTGGTTACTACACCACAGCCCTCTCCCCGAAATTTTATACTGCTACAATAATTTGAATATAGGTGGATTAACGCACAACTAGCATATTATTCTTTTTTAAACTTTTTACAATTTTTGTTGAGGCAGGGAGGGAGGCATTCCCTCTTTTCAAAATTTAATACTTTTACAATAATAATTCATAACAGACAGTACATCCTTCCAATATATAAAAATTTCTACATGTTTATTATATATATACTGCAAAATATCTCAGAAATTCAGTGGAAAAATTAACAGATTCAATTACATTTGTTTATATTTTCCATAGTAAGAACAAAATACCACAAATTTTGTACAGCTTAAAGTGCTATAAGTAATGTCTAACTGTAAGTTTTGAAAAGAGGATCATAATACATTATAATATTTTCTCTAAGAGAATAAAAATAAAAATAAATGAGGGAAAAAATTAATCACTACCCAATGACCCAATCTATAAAAGCAGAGATCCAGCCACATTTAGAAAACACATAAAGTTTGGGAAATCCACACATTAAGAATAATCAGACCTTATAAATGAATATGCCTTTACAGGTGCCTTGCAGAGATGATCATCTTTCATCTTTGGTACTAATAATAGTCAAACTTTAGTGTCATTGTACTGAAGTACTATTACTGTAAGGCAGTTCACTAGAGAACTAGGGGCTTTAAGGATAACAAGGAAGAGTGTTATCATAATCATCTGTTTTATAAAACATAAAAGGTCTGCTAACTGATGGATTTTGTATGTCATGGGTTACAAGGAAGCACAAAAGGAACAGAGGAAGAGATGTTAGGAACATTGGGTAGGCTGGATATCCAATCAGGTTGATCCTTATATCTTCCTTTTCATCTTTCTCTGTTCTAGGTCTGTTCTGTCTGTACTTTTACATTCTCATGTGTGAGTACAGAACTGCTACAGACATACTTCTCTTTGTAGTAAATACATATAAAAGATACCTGACTGTAATACAATGTCACCCATTCTCAACCATGCCTACCATATAGGATCTTACTAAGGTACACAAAAGTTAAACTTGACAAGCAGTGTGACACACATGATCAAACCCTAACTTCCTTTCCTGGCTTACAGACTGGCAACAAAACTCGTCCCACTACAAGGCAAAAATCAATAATGTAAGACCACAGAAATGTAGCAGATACAATTCTCTACATTTCTGTGGAACGGATTTTCAAAATTATGAAAAATGGAAAAGTTATAACAATTTCAACTTTTTCAATACTAAACAGCTTATTTTCTATTTTGCTTTCATTTGGTGAAGTAAAAGAAAAAATTGAATTTTTCTTGAGAAGATTTTGGCTGCTGACAAATAATATAACATAACTAACTATACTAAATATAGTATATTACAAATAAAATTACTAATCAAATATTTATAATACAAATAGGACATGTTAGTGCTCAAAGCCTACTACTGAAATTTAGCTTCAGAACTTGAATAGAGCATCTTATAAGGTTCAAATCCTCTGAATATATGTAATCTCTGTCACTTCTGAGCCTTTGTCCACAAGAGGCTTCTGGTGATGTTGGTGAAGCTCACGATTTTGGCCGCAGGGTCCTTCCATATCGGGTAAGCGAGGGTTGTGACTGTGACGTGACATGGCTTGTCGAATTTAACTTTCGTGTACCTTACTATATGCCTGACTGTTACCTTTGACTATGTTCTATATTTAAGGAAATACTCTGTATCCCTTCCTCCTAGTCCTCTAAGAGATATATTGATAGGACACACACAAAAAATACTGTTAACTAATGGATAGGATATATATGTGAAATGGAATAAAGAATATAGTTTGTGTACTTTACTAGTCTTTACTATTATATATTGAAGTTTGAAAAGGTAATGTTGTATACACTAAAGTATTTGAACAGTCAATAGTCTTTCTCAACTCAATTACTACTGCTTAGGATCTTTTGGAGAAAGGTGTAACATTCTCTGACAGGCCATATCTGCCAGTGTTTAACAAGTATGTTCACACTCTTAAGCCTTGACATTTTACACAAAGTTAAATTAAACCCTTAATATTAGATAGGGTCTGACTCTAGTAATGCTTTACTACAGAGTATGCTTTTAGAAGCACTAGAGTATCTTTCATTAGTACTTCAGCCCTCAGGGAATTATAGTATTCAGACACATACAAGAACATAAGGTTCTAAAACTCCTTTGTCAGTTACTAGCAAACCTAGATAAATTCAAAGTTTATGTTGAAATGTAAGTAAACAAGTTACTAAAAGATTCTCTAGTCAACTTATTGTTTTAGGTATATATCTGGGATAATCCTCTCTGTAACATATAGTTATAAAGTAGTTGAAAATGACCTGTATATTATGCTTGTAGAGTAGGCTGCATCTATAACATCTTAGACAAGTTATCTAGGAACAACTATTCTGAATGTCTTACCTTTTAGTAAGTCACTTTACTTTGTACAATAACAAATTGAATCATGTTTTTCTAGACAGTAAGGTATGCACCTTCTTAGCTCCCTAGAATGGGTGTGAAGAGGCTTACTAAGGAAGGTAGTAAGTCTGTCAAGATAGTAATAACACAATCATTAAGAGAGCTTAAGGAGAAAAAAGGTAGTTTCACTATTAGAAAAAGCACCTTTTACTGTAATTCATTTCCTTTACAGGATAAGAACATTACTCCTCCTTGTTTAATGTCAGAACTGCTAGACAAGTATGAAGAAACAAATGTAGTTGATCCTGAGTATAAGGAGGACCTTATAAACATTAGTACTGTAATTTATACTAGTAAGAGTATTAAACTTGTATATAGACTTTGAACATATTATTAATTCCCTCTTATTAAAGCTGGATTAATTACAGTAAGTTATACAAAATCAACCTTAGTAGTAAAATGTTTACTAATTACAAACTGACACTTTAAACAATATCAGCTTTAGAAACATTCTTTCTATTAATGACAATTTATCCAGAAGTAGTAAAGAAGGCTTAGGAGGAAATCAATAGAGTGATTAGGAAAGACTACCTATCTTGTTTGGATAATAGGATAAATCTCTCTTACCTGAATTGTATACTTAAAGAGTAGTATTAGTGAGTTCTTAGTTCTAGGGGCAGTAGTCTGGCTCAAGACTGATATGTTATATACTAAAGTATACAACCTCCTGTTCCTTTTGGTCAGTACTCTTTTAATGTTTCTACTATTTGTTAAGTATTTAACAAAATAAATAGGCATTCTACACAGATCTACACAAGTTAAACATTATTATGAATGAACTATCCTAGAAGGAACAATAGTAGTTACTAATATCTGGTACATATATTCACTTAAGTTTTATTCACTTCTTACTCACCATTATATCTCTTGTTACTCACCTTTGTATCAGGCTTATGATGAGAGATGAAAAGTACTTCTCTAATCTAGACACCTTTGTACCTGAAAGACACATAGAAATGGCTAAGACTGAAATGAGCAAGGCTGATTCTATTGAAACAGTGAATGATAGTATGTCATCTGCTGTAGAGGACAATCCTAGCAGTATTGTATTTGGTTTTGGTAGAAGGTCAGTATATTTCAGTTTTCTATATTCAAGCTTATCTGCTTAAATCCCTTGTGTTGAAGAATGTGTCCTAGGAACTACTTTACAGACTCAAATCTTTAGCTTGTAATAGCAAACATCCTATCTATGTTTGACATAAAACCACATGTTAATCCTAAGACAGGAAAAACAGAAATCCCAAAACTTGAGTTTGAGAGTAACAAACAAGTAGTGTAAGTATCTATACATGTTAACACTTACAGAAGATCTAAATCTTGTTTTATTAAGGTTTCCAAAGCTATTCAAGTGTACAATCACTCTACAAGATACAACATGGGCAGATGTAATGTTAACAAGTATCTAAACAGTATAGAACAATGTTCTCCTTGTCATCCAAATTCATTGGTTTTATTGACCCTGTCTTCACTCACTCTCTTCTGTACAACTTGATATGACTGTTGAAACTGGTCTGGTCCAGAAGGAATGTATTATATTTAGTGAATGTAGAATCCTTGCATTTGAAGCCCCTGAGCTCTTACTAGTAGTACTAGAGTCAAATTCACTATATTACATACAAAAACAGCTTGTAACCCTTGTGTACCCTAGTGTTTAGGGTGAAGAGAAAGGTTGTAGGACACAAAGCAGGCTAGATAGAATATGAGAACTCCATGGGTAATACTTTCCATATTTCCTTAGATATTTAAAGACTGTAAGTAGTATATTGGGGATTGTTTCTATAGACAGTAACACTCACGGCAGAGGTCAAGGTGGAAGTGCTGTGCTATCAATCCTTACTTCACGTGACTGAATGACAGCTCTGACGAAACTCTGACAACTATTGGGCAATATTGACTCCTGTATAGGTCATCCATGTCCAATTAGACTAAATTACAAATTAAACACATTTGAGAAAATAATTCAGGGCTTTATTTGCTTTGCATTCATTGAACATAATGACTTTTTCCCATTGCAAAGTTTCGCATGATGCTGATGCTAACGAGTCATATTGATAATCATACAGTATAAATTCTTTTGACTAAGTACAGTGTTCCATATGTGGTCAAAGATTTCCCAAAACAAAAGCCCATATCAATTACATCCCATAATTAATCACAGAAAGTAATAGCGAGGTCAACCTGTATATTATTGCATCAGTTCCGGTACACACAAGCAGATTTTAGGGAAGGGAGGGCTTACATCGTTCGACTGGCAAGCGATCTGAGCGAACGTGTCGCTCGGCTGGTGGAACGCGAAGCAGTTCTCATCCGTGCCTACGGAGTTGCCGTGAGTAACATAGTTTCATCATAAAGGAAATAATAAAGGACATACAGTCAGTTCCGGAGCCATCGCATCCGTTGAAATAGCTAAGAATAACTGCGTCAGGAAAAGTTGTTCCTTATACAAATCAATATTTGCTTACCCAAATCCGGTGGTAACAGAGAAGGTATGGCTATAAGTTATAAGCAGTACTGAGTAAACAACGGTAGAGATATTAGTGAAAAAGTGACTTACGGAGGGATGAGTGAGATGTCAGTGCTAGAGCCTGAGCCAGGCGAAGTTGGGTTCTTTAAGGTGGTCTCGACGATGACACAGTTCTCGCCATTGAAACCACATCCCCCTGTCTGCAAGTATCTAAGATATTTTTTTTAGTAGGGTATGCAGTATAGAGGACAATGACATACGCAATAGCGCCCTCGAGGGGACCACCAATAGTGAAGTCACCACCAGTAGACAGGACATTCGGTCCTTGAATGAGCATCGGCTAGAGATAACAGATGGTCAGTAGGCAATCGGATTTAAGAACCTCTCGCATACTGTTCCAAAACCACAGCTATGAATGTATATAGTGAGATAAATGTGGTGGGATTTGACATAGTACACTCACTTGTTTGTGAAGTGGACGGTGTGCGACTCTGCACGAGCGCTAGCAATAGCGAGAAGAATGGTTGAAAGCAAGAGAGTGAACATGCTTGTAAGAGACCTTGGTTGAAGGGCTTGGGGTCTACTGAGACGATTCGTTGAGTTTTTATACCTTTTCAAACATATATATTTGTAGCTGGTGAGCAGACACTTACCGGAAGGTCTCACACATTATCGTGAACAAACGTGCCGACATCTCTGGCATGTTGGCCGAATATGAAGTCGTCGTCTTACATGTGGACTGGAAGCGGGCGGTGTACCTCAAAGTTGCCTGAATAAGCCTTTGAATAGTCTGTGGAGAAGCACAAAAGATTGACGCACAGAGATATTTTGAAATACCTCACGGAAAATCACACGCTCTCGGAACTCTGACGATCTGCAAGCAAAGCATCAGATGCATGACGATAGTACTTACCCAGCGCGGTGAGGATGAACACCACATGAATTAGTCTATATTGGGCAAAGTGATGTTTTGAGATGTGCTACGGGGCGCTCTGAACGCCGCTTTCATCCAAAGTGATATATAACTCGTTAGTCAATTTCCTGAGAGCGATGCTGGCGCAAAGGAGACAATAGCGTGGTTTCAGAAGGGCGGTCTGAAAGACCGTGTGTGCGTATTTCTCCCTTCAAACAGCATGATACCACTTGGGAGACATGTCAAGTATGTCCAGATTTCTGTCCCATAGAATATACAATGACTTACTAGCTGTTAATAAGAATCCCCAGTCGGTCGAACTGTTCGAGAGAATATAACTATATACAGTACACTGACACTTGTTAGCTAGGTTCCGGAGGAATAAAGACCGGTCCTGTCGGGACGATTGAACGCGGTTAGGAAGTATCGACTTTCGGAGACATGATTGAATGCTGATTATGTTAATTCCGATCAATGGATGCCAATGATGAAAAAGCCAGCATAATGACCAACTTCACCAGACTTTAGTCCCAAGCTCTGATAACGACTCACTGATTTTCATGAAACTGCCTTCACAATCGGTATATTTGTAGTTGCTGATCAGTGGCAAGTGCTAAGAGTGCCACATTGACGATCCGCGTTTCTTGCAAATCCACATTTGCTGACAAATAAAGCGGCAATATTGTGTCCAAGTTTGTCTACTACAAAGCTGCAGGACAACAAAAAGAGATGAAGATTAAAGGAACAGTAATGAAATGTGAGAGATTTAGTCGTTTGCAGTTACTGTAAGACAAAATACACATTGTGTGATGATACCAAGTGTGAATTTGCTGAACTTCTGCTATCCCCAACCATCTTGCAGTGCCTGTGTTTAGTGCATTGTCCATACATAGAATGATAAGTGAGTGAAGTAAGCAATGCATTGTAGATGTACACAGTAGAATATAACGTGTGCGCATCACATCACGTCAAACTCATCAAGTATTACTGGTATACTGCAGGTGACTGAACAATAGCTCTGTCCGACAAAAGTTCGACATACATCTATTTCCCAGAAGATTATTATTATTTCTGCATAGGTCAATATTATCTAGGCTTAATTTAATATTGATACGATTAAGAGCAATCGGGGCTTTGCTTACTTTGAGTTCATCAGACAGAGAGGCCTCTTCTCAACTCTAACGACCAAACTTCAGAGCCTTAAAAATCAATACTGATTTGTGCAAGCTACATATCATCTATTCTACTAGCTAGGCACAGTCATTCATATAGTCTCGCATTCCCCGAAACAAATATTCTATGCAAGACACAGCTTCTACCTAATCACAGAAGGTAATAGCAAGATTAACCTATGTGTATTATTGTGTCAGTTCCAGTGCACATAAGCAAGTTTAGGACTCGGAATTTTCTTACGTTATTTTCCTGACAAGGGATCTGGGTGAATGTGTCACTGGGCTGGTGGAACGCGAAGCAGTTCTCATTTGTGCCTACAGGATCACTGTTATTGACATTATTTCAAACAAAAGATAATAAACAAGAACGAACAATCGGTTCCGGCGCCATCGCATCCGTTGAAATAGCTAAGATGAAGCATAAGATAAAGCTGTTCAATAAGTGTACAGATAATGCCTACCCAAAGCCAGTGGTCACGGAGAAGGTATGGCTGGAGTCAAAAATTAATACAGAGTGAACTGATTGAATAATATTCCTGCAGTATGGACGTACGGAGGAATGAGTGAGATATCCGTGCTAGAACCTGAGCCAGGCGTAGTTGGGTTCTTCAAAGTGGTCTCGACAATGACACAGTTCTCGCCGTTGAATCCACACGCTCCCGTCTGCAAATATCTAGTAGAATGTGGGTAAGATGGGTATGTAGTACAGAGGACAATTCATACGCGATAGCGCCTATGAGTGGGCCATTAATAGTGAAGTCACCACCGGTAGACAGGACATTCGGTCCTTGAATGAGCGTAGGCTGAATATAACGAATGTTAGTCAGCTGTTAACTCAACGAGCACCTTGCCTACCGTTCCGAAACCACAGCTGAGAATGCAAAGTGGTGAGCTACATGCATCAAGATACAGCATAGTACACTCACTTGTTTGTGAAGTGGACAGTGTGTGACTCTGCACGAGCCCCAACGACAGCGAGAAGAACGGTCGAAAGCAGAAGTGTGAACATGCTTGCGACTCGTTGCGAGAGACCTTGATTGAAGGACTTGAGGTTTTAGCATATAAATCATTTCAGTATTTATACCTTTCCAGACATATATTACTTGTAGCTGGTGAACAGACACTTACCGGATCGTTTCACATATTATCATGAACAAACACGCCACTGTCTCTGGATGTTTGCCGAGTCTCGAGCCGATCCCTTGCATGTGGGTAAGAAGTATGAGCTGTACCTCCATAATTCCTGAACGAATCTTTGAGTGACCCGTGAAGTACACAAAGGATTGACACACGTACATTTTGAAATTCCGGACGGAAAGCCGTACGCTTTCGGAACTCAAACGATCAGCGAACAAAGCATCGGATGCGTAAAAATAGTATTTACCCAGCGCGGCGAGGATGAACTACACATGGTTCATACTATATTTGACAGGGTCGTGCTTCAAGACGTATTGCGGAGTGCTCTTGGCGCCGCTATCATTGTTGTTAATGTATAATTTTACTAGTCAACTTCATGAGAGTGATGTTGGCATAAGGGAGACAACGGCACAGACTCAGGAAGGCGGACTCAAATTTTGTGTGTACATATTACACTCTTCAAGTAGTAGAATTCCACTTGAGAGCCATGTCAAGTATGCACTATCATGATGCTTTAAAGATCTGTGCTCTACAGGTTATGCAGTTACTTACCAGCTCTTACTAAGAAACATTGACTGGATAAGGTGTTACACATATACTACTTATACATAGCACTCTGACACATCCTAGAAGATTATCAGAGCGATCAAGACGGGGAATGCAAGAGAGTATAAGCACGGCGATTGAGTATTAGCTTTTGGAGACATAATTGAGTGCTAATTTTGCTAACTCCGATCAGTGTCTTCCAGTAATGCAGATCCCAGCGTGCTGATCAATTTCTCTCACCTCCCAGGTCCATCATGACTCACTGATGCAACAAAGTTGTCTTTACAATCGGAGTATTTGTAATTGCTGAACAGTGCTTAATAGTTTCGCATTGATGTTATTTGATGATCCTTTTTGTTTCCTTTTGCAATTCTGTATTTTGGCAAAAGTGAGAGTGTTATTGTGTCCACAGTTATTCTACAGGACTGTAGTAAAACATAAAGGAATGACAATAAGCAAACAACAATGGAATACAAGTGATCTTGCTCTTGAAAGTTATAACAAAGACAAAAACATGAGCTACTTGACACAGAAAATCAGAGCTACTTACTAGTTACTCAGTTAATATAGACTATTACTGTTCTTAACTATATTACAGTGTGCTAGTAGCTTGTACATATTTCCTATATGTGATGATCTGAAAGCAAAGTGGAATAGAATGTGTACTGTAGCATACCTGTCAAGAAGTTGAATTGTAGGATATTGGTAGTAAATATGAGTGAGATTATGTAAAGAAGGTAATACAAACTTGAAAGTAGTATATTAATAAGGAAGATTGAGGAATAGTAATCTTCAGGCTAGAGTGCTGAATTAGTATACATCCTTCTTTTCAAGGACAAGAACTGTTCTGTAATACTGTCAGGTTATACATAGATAATAGGGTGCTCTAGAGTTATAGAGAATTACTACTCTGTTATGTTTACTATACTGTTAAAATCTCTATTTCAACTTTGGACTTAGTGTTATTATAGTTTAGCTTTTTCCTTTGTTGAGTAAAAGAGGCACAATCACTCAATTAATGCTTGAGTGTCTTAGTATATTTAATAGGACACACTACTATATTTAAGTAGATATATAATAATTTTTTGAGTAAAAATAGCTTCTAATCAGATATAATGTGTATAACCCTATATATAATATTAACTTATTAAGCTTCTGTGTAATTTACTGTCTCTATCTCATACTCTTTCAAATTGATAATATGTTAATAGCTGATTATGTTAAATAAAGTAATATTATTACCTTTAATAGGTCTTCTGACAGTAAACTCTATATTACTAATAGACTTGTCTCTATTGTTTACTTCTTTATTTACTCCTAGTTCTCCTACCTTTTTCAGATTGAAAACTTCTAAGAATGGAGAGAAATGATAGACTACTCAAACATACAAGGAGTATAAATAAGAAGTTATTTTGAACTAGTACTTTTAACAGTACTACATTAAGTACACAGAATGTAATAAAGCTGAGTTAACAGGTTAGCTCTCTTATAATAAGTAGTATGTTAAATACACAGAGAAAAATAAATGACATAGTCTTGAATAAGAACCTTTACAAGTGTAGAGCCTTCAAACCTGGCTAACATTTTCTAGTATTCTACAGTTTTGTAGAGTACTAGAACTAGGACTATGAATCTATATACTATTAGAATAAGTCTGGCCAAATTAAACAAACATTATTTATAAGGTAAGAAAGTATACTAATTAATTATATAAGGTGTTAGATATACTCACTTTACTAGTCCTAATCCTTAGGAATAGTAATAGAATAGAGTATAGAGGGTAAGACTTGTAGACTTATATAGTGAGAGGGTAGAGGAGTCCTACTTTAGTCAAGCTGCAAGTGTAGCCTAGTAGGTTGGTAGTAGGGTACTTCCAAGTACTAGGTAACTTAAGTTGATAAAACTATCTTTTGAGGGCCAAACTAGCCTCCTTATATACCTTTTGCTAGAGTAATGTTACTCTAGTAACTTTAGTAACTCTCTTTACTATTGTTCTCATAAAGTAGAG